TTCATAGAACGTCACAACAATAATGAGGGATATGTTAAAAGAACAGCTACCTTGAAATGGAACCAGCAATTAAGTCGCTTTCGTAAACAACGCACAAAAGTGTCATGCTTGAAAACAAAATAAAATACGGAATGTAAATGTGATACCCTGTATTAGATATAAGCTATTCTGACTCACCCCGGCACCTGCGAATCGCACACCGTTGTATTTACTGCCATGCACCGTAGTGCATATGTGGGACTGAAAAAGTAATTAACGATGGAGATATGAGATGAAGATAAAAGTGAGAACCAGATTAGAAGAAGATTTTAAGGTTTAAATTAATAGCTAAACTACATGATGCTCTTATGAAAATGTTTTTTGGAACGAAAGATGCTCGATAAAGAAACCAAGGTATTAAATATGTACATGGGCTATGATGAAATGACTTAGACTGCTCAAGATCTCTCCCAGCAATCTCATTGGCAAACCTAGCAAATGGGAAATCTTAACGTTATCAAAATTGGCTAGCAATTTCAGTTCATTGGGTTAAAATTTTAATTCCTTTCACAAATATATCTACAATGCCTGCCAAAAGTATTTGGAACACCCACCAATTTACGCTGCATTTGATATCTTTCATTCCTTTCATGAAAAAAATTGCTACTTCCGCCCCTTCCCCCTCAAACAATGTTGATGATTTAGAGAAATAGCATAAAAGAAGCGCAAAAGAAAGTGCTTCCTAAAATCCTAACCCGTTTGATAGTAAACCAACATTGTTCCGTGGGGGCGAGGGGGATGATTGGTTTTGACCCTGGAAATTGATGTCAGTGTTCCAAGACTTTTGGCAGGCATTGTACATTGGAGTTAGCTTATTGATTGATTCATAAACATAAGATAATAGTTTCAGTTTAAAAAACACCTAAGATTCTAGATAATTTTAAGTTTTTAAAAATAGGAAGAGAATGAGCAAAGAATTCTTGTTGTGATATAGCTCTAGAAGCTCTTTTTTGTAATTTGAATAATGGCTCAATATGTGAATCAAACGTTTGTCCCCAAACAATAATACCATATTGTAAGAAGGACATAAAAAAGCATTATAAATTGTTATTTATGTAACTGTTGGAAGGAGGTTCCTAATCCTGAAAAGAATGCCACAGGTTCTTGCCAGTTTTTTTTGGAGTTCAGCAAGATGATATTTCCAATGAACTTGTTCATCCAAGAGAAGCCCTAAGAATTTGATGAATTTACTTTGAAAATGTGGTTTTTACCGACTTTGATTATAATGTCTAGTGGTAATGAGGCTGAGGAAGAATGCAAAATTATAAAGTTAGTTTTACTTATATTCAAACAGAGTTTATTAGCATCAAGCCAAGATTTTGACATATTTTAGTTCTTTGTTAGCCTTTTTAGTGAGCTTTTTAAGTATTTCTGATTCAAAGTAGATATTTGTGTCATCAGCGAAGAGGAAGAATTTCAAATGTTTGGAAACTCTTGGTAAATCGTTGATGTATAAAAGAAAGGTCAAGGGTCCTAGCACTGACCCCTGGGGAACACCATATGTAATCTTCAGTGGCTCTGAATTTCTACCATTAATTGAAAACAAACTGTGCTCTGTCTGTAAGATACGATTTTAACCACCCAAATGCATTCCCTCTAATCCCATAGTGTTTGAGTTTGGAAAGGAAAATGTTATGATTTACAGTATCAAAGGCCTTTTGTAAGTCAATGAATATACCACACCCATATCTTTGGTTGCCAACGCTATTTCTAATAGCTTCTGTCATACTAATTAATGCATGATCAATCGAATGATTCCCTTGAAAGCCAAACTGTAAAGGATATATGATTTTGTTATGAGTAACAAAAGAGTGGAGCATTTTGTGCATTACTTATTCATACAATTTACTAAAAATTGGCAACAAGGAGATCGGCCTATAGTTTGACCTAACTCCAGGGTTCCCCTTATAAAAAAGAGGGACTACTGTAGCCAACTTTAATTTCCGTGGGAAAATTCCGTTAAGAAAAGATTGATTAATGAGCTCATCCAGTGGACGGGAGAAGATGTGTTGTTTAAGAATTTTTATTAAATTTATTGGAACACTGTGAGGAGTCATCTTCAACTTCTACATGAGTGACTGGAGAGAGAGACAAAGAATTTGCAATTCTGCTATTAAGATATTGAAGGGGAGACTTGGGTGCTTTTGAGATGTTTTTAGTTATATTTTCTGCGACATTAACAAAATACTCATTAAGTATATTCGACATTTGGGTAGGGTAGGGTCAGATATTGAGTTTCCGTATTCAACTTTAATTTGAGAAATATTTGACTTAACAGAACCTTTATGTGAAATTATTGACTTAATTCAATTCCTAATCTTCTTCATATCCCTACAATTTGTTGCAAAGAAGTCTTTAAAGTGATTAACTTTACTTTTCTTCGGTTCACTTGCTACGCGATTTGGAAAATTTTTATAAAATTTTGCATTGTTCTCTAAGCTATGTTTTTTTATTCCTTAGAAGTCGATCGCGAATTTTCATCATTTTTTGTAATCTGTTGTTGATCCAAGGTTTTTCCTAACGTTTTGATTCTTTGTCAGTGCACTTTATAATAGGAACATGCTTCTCGGCTAGTAAAGTAACGTCATTGAGAAATTGATCATAAACCTTATAAATATCAGAGACAGAATTAAGATAGTTCAGATCAAGTCCGATTAAATCATTTATAAAATCTTTCTCATTAAAAGATGAATAGTCATGTTTTGAAATTTCGTCCATTTATTTGGAAGTTTTTACATTTTGTACTATTATTACCTGAGGGAAATGATCCGATATATGTGTCAAAATATTTCCACTAGTGATTTGAGCATTAGTTAAGTTTGTAAAAATATTATTAATGTTTGTCGATGAAAGATTGGGAATTCTGGTTGGCTGATTTATGCAAGGTAACAATTTATTTGAGAAGAAAGTCTAAATGAAGTCAAACGTAGGTGTATGCGAGTCATAATTTAGTAGAAAAACATTGAAATTACCTATTATGAAAACTTGTTTATTAATTAGTTTTCTAGACCCTCAGACACGGCTGCTTACACTTGATAGTGTGAGATGACCCACCGGTTCAGTGGCCAAGGAGTGGCAAGGGAGATCATAAAAATTTAATCAGTTCTATAATCGAAAAGGTATGAAAATTGTAAGAAATTTTATGAAAGAGAGTAAATAACTGATAAGGAAATTATCGCTTAAAACTTTCGGAAATATGGCCAGCATAGCTTAGAATGTTTTCCTGCTTAATTTACAGCATAGCTTAGAATGTTTTCTTGCTTAATCCACCGAGGTTGTGTCTGTCTAATGTTTTGTCCTTCAAAACAGGGGTCTTGTTGTGATCAAATTTAGGGAGCAAAGGGCAAAGATACTAATTTTCCGGGAAATTTGACAGAAGCACACATGAAAAGGTGCATGTGTATAATATGTGTTCAATTGTCAATATTTGTATGTGTATAATAAAATAAATATCTTTCTCCCGAAGTTTACAAGATTGGACAAATAATTTTCCTGCTCCTTCCCTCTACGGCCAGGTTGCCAATGTTCTCTTCACAAGGAAATCGATAGCATTCAAGTAGTTGTTTCTATGGAAATTCTCATTCAGATATCATATTACAAATAAATGACCAATCAATGTATGCTAATTGTCAAAGTAATCTAAAACTCTAGTTGAATTTCAAATACTCAACGCTGCAACCCGCTATTTACAATATTGTTTTGTTGATGGTACCTCGCAATGGCGGAAGTTCAATTCAATGCAACCAGTCCCCTTGTAATTCCGTTTAAATCACAAGAAAATATTTTAAACTTCATACTCTCGTCCTCCTGTCCATAAGACATTTGTGGCAACGTTTTCAAAAGTACATGAAAATCGCAGTTTATAATTAACAATATCAAAATGACTTATTCCCGGTAAACATTAAAGGGATTTCTTCAGCAATAGACTAAACTTCAAAATACTTCCCTTGCAATCTTCTAGGCTGCTGGACCTAGAGAAAACTTGTTGTTCACAGCTACATAGTAGGAAGATGTTTTGTAACAACGTTTCATCTATTCTACCATTAGACTAACTAGGCCTAAAAGTGAAATACAGAGAAACTAAAAGAGGGGCATAGATATTTGCGAGAATTCATCTGTACAACAGCTTACGACCTGTGGCCGCATTACAAAATTAGACGTAACAATTACATTTAAATGTGTTTGACAGCGATTTTTTACCAACGTAGACATACCCTTTTCGAGGGACAATAACATATCAATAACGTAGCGCAAGCATGGAATCACTTTGGCTCTTATATCTTTTTAACTGCAAATTTAAGCCACGGAAGTTCGGGGTTAAGGGAATCTTTTCTAGTGGTACAATGCTTTCCAGTGAAAACAGATATGTGGTTTATCGGAACTTTGAGGCTTGCACTTAAAGACAGCGTTAAATTGATACCAAATTTAAAAAGCTATAGTCATAGAGGTGTCTCATAGTAGTGCGGTCTTTTAAAGAGGGCTTAGCTTACAGCATCATCAGTTGCCTAAAGGAGGCAGCCCGGGCCCAGCTAGGAATTTTTTAGTTCGAGGCCACCCAGGTGTAAGCATTAGTAAAACCATATAGACAAAATGTAAAATGGTAATCAGCAGACTTTCCCTTTATTTAGACTGGTTTATTATAAAGGCTTGGAGCCCCTTAAACTCTTTTATCACATCCAAAATAGCAGCTTCAAAGTAACATAACATCAAAAACATTGTCTCTAGGGGCTCCTAACTGTTGGGGATCCTTGGTTTTTTTAACTAAAGGTAACGTTAGTCCGTTACGCCACCAAGACTGCATCTTACTGAAAGGAGTTAATCGCATGAATAAGGTCATGCAAAGACGGTCTAAATTTTACAGTATCCTATCAAATCTATCGCGTTTGGTTGGATTCAGCCGTCTGGTTCCTCAATATTGTTTGATCTTTCTCCGACATTTTCGAGTGGCGTCAGCCCATTTCCACCCATTGTGACAATTCCAGAGGGCATCGATGCAACGACAAAGTCTCCATACGGACTTATTTGATATGTTAAATCGTAAAAGTCAGTTGTGAATGTAGCAAGTTGTTGTCCCAGAACGAGGTCCCATAGAACAACATAAGAACAATGAAATCGAGACCGCACGGAATGAACTGCGCGACTTCCATCTTCTGACATACTTAAGCAATGCTTGTCATCCATATAGCCGCCCCTTATCGTCCGTATAGGCTCTGACAATGAGTATCTTAGGTCCCCATCACTAAGATTCCACACGCGCAAAACTGAATCAGCACTAGCAGAGAGGATACAATTTCCTTGTGTTGACACCAAGATCTTCAAAATTCGATGCAGTCTAACCTCCATCTCGTGAACTACAACTCCTTTCATTAAGTCCAGAACGAGAATCTGGTAGTCAGGTTCTGTTAAATGAACCAAGTAATGACCGTCTTCCGAAATGGCACAGATTTTATGAAATATTTGACCGTTCTTCAGAGAAAATGAATGCAGCTGTTGCCGACTTTTCAAGTTAACAACTGTTATTTCATCTTGCAGTGAATTTGAGGGCATTTGATCGTCTTTGCTGAATGAAATATCTTCCTGGCTATTGCGAAAAGTGTCTGCTTCCAAAATACACGCTCCGATTGCCCCGTTTTTCGATATAAGAATGTTGTGGAAATGACGGCCTTCAGGAGCCCTGTAATCCCAGACCACTTGCTTGCTGCGGATATTAAAGACATTTAGGCAAGTTAGATTATCAGAGAGTGCTGCAATGTGGGAGCTGTCACAAACGGCAAAATACCTCTGCTCGCTTGGCAACTCTGTCATAATTTCTCCGCTGCTCAAGTCGAGTATGCACACCCTACCATCTTGCATTTCTACAGCAGCAGAATGGTTCACAGTTAAGGGTACTCGCTTAAGTGCCAAACCAGAGCAAACCCTTTCACAAACGCCTTTGGAATTATAAACAGATATGGTCTCTTTACTTCTACTCCATGTAATAAAAACATCCGGGAATTTATCAGAGAAGAGGATCCGTGTATCGACCGGATGACAGAGAAAAGATGATATTTGATTCTCAGAGGACGCGCCACATTCACTCGGAGGTCGTATCAAACAAGGAATAGAAGGCATAAGTAGATGGCCTTTACTCAAAGAATCGTTGATCAGTTTTTTCAAAGAAAAACTCTCAGTTACGTACGAATGAGTATTCTCGTTCAATTCATCGTTGATGTCTGTTTGTGAAATACATCTGTCATTTGATTTGTCAACAATGTCGCTCACTTTAACGGTGTGCTGTTCTTTTAATGAATCCTCGGCGGTTTTCCTTTCTTCTTGTTCATCATCAAAATTATGCAGTTGTTCAGAATCCTCACTTGTGGTGCTATCCTTACCGTCGGGCGGCGGCAAAGAATGCTTTTCCATTTCTGCTACGCTTATAACACGACTGAATTCTTGTGCTTTTACACACTGCTTCGGATGCAAGCGGGTAAAAATTTGCGCTGACAGCTGGTCAGGATCCAAGGCAAGTGCTTCTAGGGCTAATTCGAAAAACTCTTTCAAGATTTTTAAATCTAGATCATGTGAATAGGCAGACAGCGCGTAATAGAAATCGTTGATGATGTGACCCACGGACGTTGCGCGAAGTTTGTTGAGTAAAAACTCGTAGTTACAAATTGTGAGCTTCTTCAGCTCTTGCAGTCGGTTACAGCGAAGTAGATAAAGCGGCAGAAACTGCAGTCGCTGTAAGTTGCAACTTTGTTTTGGTGGCGGAGTCTTGCCAACGCTGTTTCCTTGAACATCGACTCGCTGGCCAGCTAAACTTCCTCGACTTCTTTTGTAATCTGATCCTCTCTTATTGGCGTCGATTTTGTCATATGGTTCAAATGAGTTCGGCTCGTTCTCCAAAAAGTTTACAAGTTTCTGTGTCATACTTGACACAATTTCCTGTCCTTTGAGATATCGCTCCCTCACGACTGACTGAATGAACCGATGGAGCCAAGTGCAAACAATTTGGCCATTCATCCACTTCATAGTGACCAGACTAGCAAAAGATTTGAGAATCCTATTGACTAGGCCCTTCACTTTGCTGGCCGGAATGTGCTCCACCTGTTTGTTCATCAATGCATGGCAAAGACATCGTTTAGAAATGCCAAACTGTGAGACAGTTATCAGCGATGAAATCAAAGAAACATTGTCTTGTCCATGTTTTGTCTCGACTGCAGAGAAAATATCTCCAACGTACTGCGCCAAATCTACCTGCAAAAATAGGAAAGCAACTCGGTGATCGGTTGAGACTGAAAAAATGGACAGAATTGACAAACCCATCCACATTTAACCCGTATCTTTAGGAGAAGATTCGACCAAATGTCATACAGATAAATGTAACAAATAAAGCACTTGCCAGATGACTAGCACTTGTCATTCTTAGGACACTGAGAAATAATCTCACTGTAAGGGAAAATACAAAGGTCAGCTACAAACAAATTTGCATCCTAGCTGTTTGGTGATTTATGCCCTGCTGCGGTATCAGAGCTGTCAAGTTATCAAATAACAAGCTGGTCAAAGATATTTTCGAAATATATCAACTTGTTACCTAATTTCCATGAAAATTCTTAAAAATATTGCAATAGATAATTTAATTTGCAGGAGAGCAGATCACTTGTTAAGCACACGATTGAATATTGTATATTTGCCTTACTTGCGTGGACAGGTTAACTTTTTCATTTCCTCTCCAAGACTTGGCTTTGTGAAAAATTATGTTTACATAAACTGGTGACCAACACGAAATCAAAGAGTTGGAAATGGCAGATTTCTGTTGCTCGGAAAGCGTTCTGTCAGCCGCCACAAGCATTTTGTCAAGCATTTCAATGCCATCCTCGGTGGTTTTCGTAGGGATCTCCCTGTAGCTATTTATGTCAGTGTATACTTTCTACAACAAAGGAAGACGTTTGGTAAGCTTTTATCGATATATTTATGTTTGGTGAGCGACTCCTATTAAATGCAAGCAGTAAAAATTGTGCTGCCAGTAGAAGGCATAATTTGTCACTCTTACTATATAAACTTTACTATATAAAAGGAAGTCAATACTCTACAGTCAAAATTGATTCACATTACAAATTACAAAATATTCCATGTGATTCCAATTGTCCAGGTAACCGGAAAATTATATTCAGGTGTGGCATTTGATTTGTTCTTTGTTTTTGGTCAATCAGTGACGGGTTATTCCTAGCCGAAGAGTCCACTTAGTAAAACCCTCTGTCTACAAAAAGTAGGATTTTTGTTTGGTTGTAAACAGACTCTGAAACGCTGAAATGAGAAGACCATCTTGCTTGCGCACTGAATTTAGAATTGCTGTCAGTATACGTTTCAGTGCACTCTTGAGCAAATATTGACCTATGGCCGAAACATGTTTAATCTTCTAGGGGTATGAATTTCAAAAATTTATAAACATGGCAGGGCTGTTCCATTTTCTGAAACAGCTGTTTGCTTGAAGCTCGTAGGAACATGTTGCTTTATTCTTTCGCTATTTTCTAAGTAGCCATCCTACGCACCATGCTTCACATCGTCACGAAAATTACGAAACTTAACATAATTTGATTGGAAGGAATAGAATAAATAATATGTTCAAAAAAGACAAAGATACAGTGGTGAGTTCAGGATTCGAATCAGTATGGGCAGCTAAAGAACAAATTGGAAATTGCTACGTGTGGCCATTTGAAGAAAATAAGTGAATTAATTTGATTTGAAAATATTTGTATATCAGTGGACGGTCTCTGACTAGCATTTGAATAGTGATTTCTTCTTTAAGGCAAACCTGAGCTGATTTGAAATGGTCTTTATGAACAGATATTATGATTTTGACATGACTTTGTAAGATGGCCGGAATGAAGCAAAACCATTGCAAATCTTCTTCAAAAATCTCTACGTCATCCAAGCCAGCAATGAATATGACTAGCGGCTGAGAATCGGTCGCAAACTGAAACAGGTTTGGCAAGAACTGAACAAGGTCTGGAAGATTCTAAAATAAAGAGAAAAATTATTTCAGGCAAATAAAAAATGTGGCGAACTTCTTGAATAACAGGACTGAACCATGATCTCTATTTTCAAATGTTAATTTGAACTTTCAAACGATCTAAAAGCCCCATGTTTTAAATATTAAACAAACTCCAACTATATCTCACGGAATGTTATTCTTCTTAAAGTGAGATCGACAGGTTTATTGGAGAATGCAATATCTACATATCGCTTTCAAAACAAAAGGAAAACGCGCTTGCAACTAACAATAGCTCGAGATTACACACCTGTGGAACAGCAGCTGGGTCGGTTTTATATGCATAGCTTAGCTGTAAGCATATGCTCTGCAAAAGAAGATGCAACGAGGTCGAGTCTCTTGTTGACCCAATGAACCTCGTAACTACGGTCGTGCCACTGCCAACCCAGGCCTTGGTCATTTCACTTGACTTTGCAATGACAGATGATCTTCCGCAACCGGACTCTCCATACAAGATTAGCGGCTTTGAGTAAGGGCCTACAGTGAATATAATACAGCCAATAACAACACGCCACAAAAGGATCAAATGGTTTCAACAAAACAGCAGAAAAACAGTTGATGGCGATTAGTTTACAAGAATATCAATAAAATATCTATAACGACTCAAGTCTGGTGAAAAAAAATCTTAATCTCTTGAAATCAGAAGAATTTCTTTCATAATAGCAAAGAAGACATGAACATTTCCCACTGGTCACGACGGGGTATGAAAATGTAACTGCTCGCAGCTCGTCCAAAGAGGATGAAGGCAATACAATATCTTTAAATGGTGTACTGGTTACCTTGCACATAGGCCTTAACGGTTTGCAATACATCAGTATGTCCCACAAACTCTCTTGATTTTTGCTGACACTCAAAACCGTGCGTACAAATTTCATCTCTTAGGTACGTCTGCCTTGAATATACTGAAGAAAACATTCGCATGATGTCAACCAGTTTACTCTTAATATGCAGCAACAATACTTCCTCTAGCAACTCAACATACGACTTTCTTTCGTTGGAGTCTTGTTTCACAGCCATCAATGTAGTTTTCAGTGTTATGACGTCAGATTCTTTAAGGCTACCAGATTCAAGCATCTTTTTTCGAAATTCATGCTTCAAGGATTCCAGTTGGTAGTATGTATTAGCATCTTGATCATCATCATACGCTTCCAACGTTGAAAATGATCGCGTGCACTTTCTTAAATCAGTGATTTTTCTTTCAATTGGAACTAGCTTGATAGAATCTAGGCTTGATATCAACTTATTAACATGTTTCTCGGTTTCTGCAATAGAAAAGAAAAATTGATTCAAATAAAAATCGAGCACAGAAGAAGTGTTAAATCTGATTAATCACAATGCAATATTTTAAGTAAGTATTCGTTTATAAATTGTGTATCAAAACATTAAAAAGTCTACCATTTTTTTCTAACAAAGAATATCTTTATACCTGGCTGAAAATTCTTCCACAAATCCTTTTCTCCTTCAAAACATTTTGACAACAAAGCTTTGCATATACTGACAAGGTTTTCTTTAACTTCGTTGTCCTCTTCTACGCTTCTCTTCAAGACATACGGACGAGAATTGTCGTTCTCTTCAACCTCATAGCATTTCTTCAAATGCGCTGCCTTGTCATCGGGCAGCAAGGAAGCCATTTTTTCAAAGTCTGCTGACGTGATTTCTGTGGGGATGGTCATTGGTCCAACTTTTTCTCCAAAACAACCCTAAAAAGGTATGCCACATAAGAGAGGTATGAATTGCAAATATCAACGTAAATGATGTTTCATACTTGAAAATACTTTCCTATCCACTCTCTGTTAAAACAAAGAAAATTAACAAAATTTTGAAGAACGATTGCTCAAAACAATGTCCTATACTTGGTAGGCATGCTATAGAGTGCTTGCATAAACTGCGCAGTTATGCATTTCACCGGTTTAAATCTGTTAGAAGGTGACCTGGATAATATTTTTGATGTGTTATAGAAAGTTGATACTCGACATGGACGCCTATGAGTGTTTTAAGGTTGAGTTTTGTTGTTGCGCGTCTGTTAATTCAAATCAATAGCGAAATTTGCAACTCAAGGAAAAAGTCAACCTTGCTCACTGATTTACAAAAAAGGCCGGATCGAGCTTCGATTGTGACTAGAATGTCGCAATCCGAGACGGGGGCCCTCTGTCTTCATGAATAAAAAAACATTCACCATTAGGTTTCTGATATGCGTCAACAATTGTTAGGACAATTTCAAGCGTCTAGAGACATAAGCTTACCATTTTTTAAAAATCACGAAAATAGCTTTGGAGTATTAGAAGAATTGTGGTCTGGAGAAGTAGAAAGAGCGCTGCATTGCGCTTTAAAGAGGTTTTAGCAAAGATTGTAGTTCGTTTCCTAAAATCTTACTAGTAACAAAACAGGAATGCCAAATCTCTTGATTTCCTCTATTTCTTCGCTTAATTGTCCCGCATCTTCATCCCCTATCACCCAACTACCAACTTTCTGTTCTTTTTTCTCCTGTGCACAGAGGTTGATGACGTCACATACAAAACCAAACCTACTGCAGAAATCAGCCAAGGTCGGGAGGCATTCTTCTATCAGGTATTTTCTTTCAATTTGAGTATCTAAGAAGAGTTTAAAAATTTAGCGAAAAACTTTGAGCCAGAAGTTTTCTAATTACTAACATAAAAATGTTTCATTGGTGAAAAAAGTTGCAAATTACACATTTTGAAGGGCGTCATTTAGTTATGGTCAAATAGATAATAAATGAAAAAAAATTAAATTGATCCAGTGACAGTAAAATTGTAAAAGCTTTAAAATGACTTCTAAATTCTCAGCTACTTTTTTATGAACATTGAGTTTGTCCCCTTTCTTTATAAGTTGTACTCTAGGTCTACCTATGAACAATAACTACCTGGTTTGCCGCAGACAATTACTTTGATCATTCGTGTCGATAAGTAGGATGATTGTTTTTCTTGAAGGTCAAAGTTCAGACACCTCAGCGAACTCATTCTAACCGTATGTCCAAATGAATGATACCCTAAGTTTGAAAGTGACTTTGAAGCGAGGCGCTGGAATAATGGCGGTGGGCGCTGTCCAGTTTGCTCTGGCAAAACAGGCAGCGGTTCATCGATTGGCAAGTCTTGGTCGCCTGTGACAAAATAGTTCAGATAATAAACACAATATATGAGTATATAAGACAGAACTCATTCGTAAAAATGTCCCAATGCATGACATGCTGTACGGGAAAGAATGTCGTTAAATAGTCAAGGAAATAACGGAATTTCTTACAGGTGCTGTTGATATGACTATGCATTTGTTTGAATATTTGAGGAGGAGCTTTTGTTATTGTTTACATCAATCACTACAACAGTTGGACGACAATTTATCCCTTCTATGGCGGACTTGGGGGAAGAAAATATTTTATACGGAATAGCAGCCTAAAAGGCAGTATTGGAAGAACATTTCATTCCATTGAGGATATCTGTGTCCCAGAACCAGCCCCTCCTCCCCTCCGAACTCACCCCCATTCTTTATAAACTTTTCCAGCTCTCCTATTCATTTGGTTTATTTCTATTCTTCTGCAAACTAGCCCAAGTCTTCCGAATTCCTAAAAAAGGGAAGAAGTCTGAGCCCACCTACTATCGTCCAATCGCTATAATTTCTCTCAAATCTAAAACAATAGAGGGCATCATCACCAGAAATCTACTTATGTTTCTTGAAACTAGCAAACTTCTTTTAAACCACCAGTATGGTTATTGCTAAGCGAGATCTTCCAGCGTATGCCATTGACGTTTGGTCCTCTTATCGAGAATGCGTGCCTCTTCGACAAATCCGATCCAAAACCATTAGCCTCATCAATAACTGCAACCTCACAAAGTCTCTTAAGTCTAATTTCCATCGGCGCTGTGTCACTGATTTCGCTAAATTTATAGATTTTACCAGGGCCATTGCTACAAGAGATCAGAGATATGATTTTCTATGCCCACACTTTCCAAGTCTTTTTGCCAAGATTACGAGCAGTGTCTAAAAACCCATCCTTCCCCCCAAGATTTTGTACACTTTAAACGCACCACCATCTTTCTGCTTTCCATATGCTTACAACCTATCTCTATTTAAATTAAAATTAGCAAGTTTGATCTTTCTCCTCTCTCTTCCTAACCCGTTCCTCCCTACACCTTGTTAGAGATCGTTATACGCTGCCGCGCCTTTCCTTGGCATTACCAACTAAAAATAGCAAATAAGCAGCAACATACCTGCTGATGATACTGATACTTCTGTGCTGTTTTTGTTAATTGTCAGTTTTCGCTTTGAAAATGTCTCTCTTGTCAGGCCTGCTTTATTCTCAAATGTCTCGAGTGTAGACACAGCCTCCTCTTCAGGCAATGTTTCTATCTTCTCTGGCTTTTTAACTGTCCGCAGTTCTGACGGGTCACTGTGGATATCTGGTGACGTAGTAGAATTCAGCTGGAAAGAATTATCCGACCTTGTACTGAGAGTTTTGCTCAAGGTTTCTCTTTTCACTGAATGCTGTGGCGTTGTGTACTAGAATGTGAATGAAAATGGTATCAAACTGTCGTTCTAAGCGTATGATTAATGTTAATACCCCATTTACAAAAACAGCCCAATAAAAATATTCAGTTGGTTCTTTTTATTAACATATTCTTAAATAGCAGAATCAAATACGGCAGGATTTGGAAATCAAATATGTCATTCAGTTTCAGAGTCGTTTTGGTATCATTTTATCACTTTTACCCAAGTTATTTATTTTACCTAGGGATGATATAATTTTTTCTGGTATTGAAAATTTAGATGAAAAATCTAGGTACCCAAGATTTCTATCAAGTAACTTATCATATGAACATAGAGCATTGTCTTTTATCTTCATCTACACAAGAAGAAATAAGGACAAAAATCTCACATAGCGTGCCGAAAAACACAGGAAAACAATTGAAATTATGTAAAACTTTTCGTCAATTTCTTCAAATATCTCCAAGGATCCAGTCCCCTTAGTGCTCTGAACATAATGAACAATAAAGACAGTAGCGTAATCAAAATCATTAAATCTCGACTTACCTCTGCCTGCAAACGAATTTTTTCGATAGGGTGTTCTTTGAAGTACTCGAGCATTTCATTAATCGACTCAAAATATTCGCCTCTAACAGAGACGCCACTTGCCATATTGAAAATGGCGTGATGTGCCACATATTCACCAAAACTGTCAACAAAATATTAAATAAGTAGGTTCTTGAATCTGATTTAGGAAATTAACAATAACTAGTCACACATTTATTGGTGAAAACATTGTTTCACCGAACATTGTTTCATCATACCGAAAATTTATGACGATTTCTGAAAAGTAGAAGATTCTCTAATTGAAGAGAACAATGTTTTCTCCTATGAATTGGAAAAGGTGTTTATTTTTTCACCAAACTGTGAACAAAGCCAGCTACAAATAAATTCAAAGCAATAATTTCTTTTAATTGTAATTACTACAAATATTTTTATAGCTATAATTCGTTATTATTGTTATTACTACAAGTATATTTTTAACTATAATTCCTTATTAGTTTTTTTACTATATGGCTGACTTCCTTTAAATACTTATGAGTTTTGAATTTTACTTTTTTCGTAACCTTTTCTTTTTATCATTACGATTGTAATAGTTTTATTTTGTGAAAACAGGCTAGCCAGTTACAAATTGCCTATGTAATAGAGAGACTTGTAATTGTAGTTTTAACTGGAATTCCAAATGAAAAGTTTCCATTACCATTATGAAAAGTTTCCATTATTATTCTTAAAAGTTTATGACGCTTACTGTTTCTTATATTAAAATGCTTTAAAGGTTGTTCACAATAAATATAATCAAATTTGACGCAACCGTAAATGGCCAGCCAAAGATGAAATCAAATGTGAAACATATATTAGCTAAAACACAAAAAGGTCTTGAAACTCAACGAGAGAGCATGATCGTGAAGATATCAATCGCAACTGCAAAAGAGATGAGGCCCTGTTCAAACGTCGAACTTATCATGTGCCGAATAAAATTCAATTAAATACGATTCAGGAACGACTTTGCGCGACTGTCATTTCAGACGTCGAGCCAAATGTGTCGAGCTAAATAACTTCGAGTTGTTTACATGAAGTAGCTGGTAAAAGCGCGATGCACACCATACAAATTTGGCTATATTTTCTAAGATGGCTGAATACAACTTGAACTTTTTTTGATGAAACCTATGTTGACGGACACTAGAAGAAAACATCGAGTACCCGAATACAGATTAAAAATAGCTAAAATCCTGGCAATAGGATCTAGAGAAGCCCTGCTCTAGTGTTTATTACTGACAAAACCAAGAGGATGATTTTAACATAAACACCAACAGTAAGAACTTGCTAAAGACTACCGCGAAACAATGCGCCGATATTTGGTGCTCAAACGACAAATACTGAAAGCCTCGGGAAAGTGGAATCCATTTGATTTGTCTTATTCTTTATTTGTCATTTAATTTTGATTTGTGAGAAGTTCGACGTTTGAACAGGGCCTTAGAACTGGTTAAAAAGCACAAGCAACGTTATCGTAGATTTTATTTAAAGAGGCACTATTAAATTGGAATTGGTTTACTTTCCCAAACCAAATTAAACCAAATTAAAAGGCAGCAGAAAATCTCATACAATTATGTTTTTATGTTATTTTTATATGATTCATGGCGCAATGGGCAGCTTGATACCCATTTGATCTCTGTATAGTGTTTCAAACGCGAGCCAGAGACTTAGATATGATTTTATAGAACTAATAATATGACCAAAACCCGTGATACAGAATGTCAGTCCAACTGCTCCACATCTTGACTCGAACATCAGACTCTGGGGCATTTCGAATCAATGATAGGTGTTCAGTCACCAACTGTTTTGCTAATTTCAAAATATCTCGAATAGGATTCTTACCTGACTGATAAAAATCTCTCTGATGAGACATCTTCGGTTAAAAGGAAAGTGCCCTCCTTGGCGTTCGTTAGGAAATTTTCTGCTTCATCTCGGGTGAAAGTGAAGAACAGCTTTCTGAAAGTATGAAAAAGTTCCGTTACAAAGCTCTTTACATTGAAATGAACAATCCTTAACATTTTTAGAATGCTCTTTTCTTGACTTTCTGACCAATCTCAAAATTTTCATTCCAAATTTAAATGACCAAGGAAATCCATTCAACTCAAAACCTTTTTAATGAATCTGCCTTCAAAAAGAACTCGGTTGCACTTGGTTACCCCCTCAAAACAATAGTATTAAATACGCATAAATTATAGCTAGCCTCCATCTGAGTTTACATGGGTTGTAAGTTAGGCTTTCTTATTTGTGTTATGATGGTGAAGATTAATATATATTAAAATCCTATTTCGTCTCACATCCGGCCTATAACAACTTGCGCAAACTAAACATTGTTTTATACTGTTTTAAAACGATCTTGACGAAATCGGACCAGCACCTCAAACAACAGAATGTTGTGTTGATTCATTGAAATTTTCGGAGTCTAGCAAACTTTGCTAAACATCGCTGAACACCACTGAGCAACAGTGAACACCATCGAACGAGATGTTGAAACGATCAGAATATTTCATTGAACATCAATGTTGGGTGATGTTTGTCGAAATGCTGAGAGTGTTTTAAAGGCATTTCGTCCCGACGCATTACACTGACCATTTCAATTTCCCATTGGTTGGAGTACACAATAGACCTATTGTTACGTATCCAATCGGCAACGTAAGGCTAATTCTCAATGTTATCTCGACGATAAACGTGCTATTGTTGACTCTGAACGGCGGTCGATTGACGGGACATAGTTGGGCTTGAAAGGATTTCAAGTAGAGAAGTAGCCTTTTGTTTTTACTTCACACCATGCTATCCTTTATTATAATTGACACAGCAAAAAATATTAATAAAAATCAAATGTCCAATGAATGTTAGCTATGAAAAAAAATTTCCTACAAACCTTTCTCCTGACCCAGACTGCTGGTTTTCCTTTGTGCTGATGCTGCTACAGTCTTTGACCTTATTGCTTCGTCCGAAGGTTTTCACAGAATTTTCCTTCGAAGAAAGACAAATACCCATTGCTAGAGGTCTCTCGTCACATGACTTGATGCCTTACCTGAAAAACAAGCAAAGTTTGAATGACTTAATGGCACTCGTTATTCTTTCTTATTCTCTATTTCCGCTATTTTGCCTGCCAACCAATTTCTTCATTCTTTTATCCTTTCAGATCTTTTATCTTCTATCTCTGTTTACAAGTGCTGGTATTTCCCTCTAAATTCCTAACTTTTCACCCGAAAAGACTTCCTGGCAGAAGTCATAGTCAAGCTCCATAAGCAGCGACAGGAAGACTCCTCGGCAAAGTATAGCCACCCAGACAGCTATATTTCAACAATATTTCATAATGTTCCACTGGAAGAAGACAATCAGCTGCCATAGAGAAAGTCGTTAACATAAAGAAGGTGCAAGGAACTATTTTATCGCTGCAATAAATTTGAAATATTCGCATTTTTAACGGAACAACATTTTACTTGTTTTTTACAAAGTTGCCCACTGTATTTGAGAAAGGAACTAATCTCCCTGGTTTTATTTCGAGATAACAACACATTTAGATCGGCAGCTTTACAACCCACGTTTGTCCGATCAGATATCAACAGAGAGCGATGGATAGTCGTTCATGTTGAACCTTTATGTTTGTTTTGAGCGCGCTATGTGAAGCTTAAACAGATCAAATCACCAAGATTTTTTGCAGAGATAGGCCTATTCTCCATATTTCCTTCTGCTCGTTTCCATTATTCCGCTCCTGGATAATAGAAGCGAGCTTCTAGCTGTTGATATTTCTTGGAATTCCTCCTAATATGCATAACAGCTTTCCCCTTTCTATATTATTTTGAAAATCCTTGAAATAATCGGAACGATCTTCTAGTTGGTATTATGTCTAGGATTCCTTCCTAATATTCAAAACATGCTTTTCGTTCCTTCAACTTTCTATGAATTAAAGTAATCCTCCTGGCTCCGGATTTCCAAGACTTGAATTTTTGTTTTTGTCCGACATGATCGCCAATTTGGAGGCAAGGACGTGGGCAAAAAAGCACTTAGAAGAACTTAAGACAAGAGGTTGGCATGTCAAAGCATAATGAAGACTTCAAAGTAAATGATGCTGGGACGAATCGGTCGACCAACATGGTTGCAAAACTGACAAATGTTAGAGCAACCTAGCACAAAGGTTCTGAGTTTGATCGAAACTATAAGAAACTATATCTAGATAAACTATATCAAAAGCTTAGTGAGTTTGAAACACAATTACACGATCACAGAATGGTCTACCGCTTATGGCCAATGGGACAACTCAACCTGCAAACAGCATGGGTTTATTTAAGCTAAACTTGACTGACTGGGTCAAAGAAAGGCGGCCATGTCTATACAGATGGCCCAGCATGGGGGTCCCAGTATGTAACAACATTAACAAATGGAAGCTCAGATAAATCACTTTCAAATACCCCGAATTCATAAAAATTCAGCCTTTCATTTGCAGGATCACCAGAGCACATCACCTTGATATTGGATATCATTTTTTCGTTGGAAATCTTGTTGTTTCGGCAACCAAAGTCTAATTCCTCTGCGCTTCCATCAACTCTACCTACACGGCAATAGGTAATTTGTAGACTAGCACGATAAACTAATGGAAGGAGTCAATTTTGAACTACCTAAGGGATATTTTAATCAACACAAGATTTTTGCTTTAAGTGGACTGGAAAGAACGGGTACAGATAGAGCAATATCTGCCTCTTTAACAAGCCAGCCCTTTCACTGCTCCTACTCAAAGCAAGTCTGGCATAAACTTTGTTACAAATCGAACCATTCAGTTTTCTTAATCATAAACATCATTGCCATCGTCATCGTACGTCTCACTTTGCCATTTTTAATTCACTTAAACACGACAATCAAGGCGTACCAAGTTGATCATGTGACATTATTTCGCGCTTTTGATTCGCCAACACAACAGTTTGAACACAATTGGTCGAATTCTGATATGATCAGGTGAAAGCGATTCACGCCATTTTTGGTGCCCCTTCACGTCCTTAAAATCAATATTAGCCCGCCGACATATCTTCTTTTGTCATTTTGCCCGTGAACATAGATCAACCAAAACGAGGTAGAATTTAATTGCAACTAACAGTATTATACCATGGGACATAACATCATGGTATAATACTGATTGACCTGTAACGGTTTGGCTTTAATATTTAATCATTTTAGTAATGTTTCCGTTGCGTGTTAAAGTCACATTTTTAGGTCCTTAAAATTCTACAACATATACTGAAGATGATGATTATGATGATGCTTGATGATGATGTCGTATCGGTTGGGAGAGATATTGCTAAAACGTCATCAACATACAAAATATTCTTAGAAAGACGTTTTGACGAATGACTTCAAATCTGAAAATATATGATTTATGTAATCATCATTTTCTATTTTAACCTGCCATTTATCCCATCGTTTTCGAAGAAGAACAGATACCCAGATATCAATTTATAATACATACCTTAGAAATCAATTCATAGCTGGTACCCTAGATATCATAATAGATAGATACTCAAGATATCAATTCATAAAAGCTCCTCTAGATATCAATTCACTGTAGATATCCCAGATATCAATTCAGAATACATACCCTAAATATCAATTTATACCACATATTTCAGATTTCAATTCAGAATACATACTCTTAATATCAATTTATAATACATACTTCATATATCAATTCAGAATACATACCCTAAATATCAATTCATAACACATACTTCAGATATCAATTCATAATACCTACCCTAGATATCAATTCATAACAAGTGCACCAGATATTAAAATAGATATCCCCCGATATCAATTCATAATTGCCCCGGATATCAATTCTCCAGATAGATACTCCATTTTATAATAGAAACACTTGATAGCTATTCCAATTTATGAAAGATACTCCAGAGATCCTTTGGAAGAAAAATTTTCTCGCGCAACAAATACCTTTTCTCAGATCCAATACAATTATATTATTGACCAAGGAAGCACAAGAACTTTGCTTTATTGAGGCCAGATCAAATTTAGCTGAGCAAGATCACCGACGAGAGCAGATGTTTAAAGAAACAGGTACTTTTGATTGCGTGAGGCTCTAAGCAACAATTATGTACGTCTTGCTTCACATTAAGTTATGTTTAAGCTACATACAACTAAGGGATAATACATTATTCAGTGCTTCTTCCACACTTTTAAAGTGTATTTCATTTAGAAGTTAAAAACACATTCGAATGTCAATTTAACGTCTACGTTGACCCGAATGCCAACATCCTTAAAAATAGCAGGGAAACAAAACGCTTTAGCAAGTCTTAGAGACGTTGATATGGAAAGATGAAGAGACTGCTCCAGCATTTTTGGCCGGCATTGTAGGTTAATCGAACGACAACTAAATTAGTAATAACAATGACAATATGTTAAGACATGTCTCGTTATAACATGCCTTACTTTGCAGTGAACCAACACTGTTTAAAACGGTTGAAAGAGATGAAAAAAATCATAGCATAACATATTATTTACAGAGAAAAATAAAGGTTTTTAACGTTGGTAATTGGACTTCTGCTGGAGACGAGAGCGATACAGCTAAGAATTTCCTGAGGAGTCTGTAGGTTTACTTTAATCCTTGATATGGTTATTTGAAAAATTATAAGTCCTTAATACGTTACACTTGCTGCAGTGAACACCATATTAAAGTGCCGATCCATATTAAATTTATATAGATTTTTGACTGGCTGACTTAATACGTTGCACTTTGGGTACAAGATGAAGGCGTCAGAATGAGAAGACTATACAAGCGAAATTCAAAATATATCTACATATTAGTACCCTACCATTTACTTTAGAGTACGTCGTACTATCGTATGTCTCTGCTTTACCTCTGAATAAGGTTTTAAGATGGACACTTTATACTACACTGCGGCTCAAATTTGTTAAAAATCAAGAGGTTTTTGTCTTTTCCTTTATGCTTCAAAAGTTATGCAAAACAGGTTTTACCTAGAACTAGCCTTTTCGCTGAACTTGGCTTTAACAATTCATACAGTTTACAGTTATATTTAACAGTGTGGGCACTAAACTCTTTTTTAAAAGTTGTTAATTATTGCGACTCTCTAATACCATGAAGTAATGTTTGCCACAGCTTTTGAACTGTGAGATAATTAGGTCAAAAGCTGTGGCAAACACTACCTTACAGTAGAGAGTCCCAATCAATAAAAATTTGTAAAAAAAGAGTTAAGAGCCCACACATATTGTTTGAAATGTTTATTTCTGGATAAGGTTTCATTCATATTATAATGACTTAAACCCTTTTGATACATTTAACCAGATAGTTGGCCTCAACTAGCTTCAATAGAGCAATTTGCCTTTGACCTTGTGAGCCAACTTTAAACAAATTATTTATCATTATTATCATTATATTTTCATTATTATCATTATGTTATCATTTTTATCTCAGCACATGAAAGAGAAGACGTTTAACTTTTTATTCGACAAATTTACTCCTCGAAACATCACAAGATCTTGTTCCTCATATAATGCAGACTGTCGGAGACAATCGCCATTGCAAGTGTCCCAAATACAATGAAATCCCGATATCTCAAACTCCGATAACTCGAACATTCGCTAGGTCGAACTGATATAGATTCCCTTTGCTTAATACTTTCATTTGAAAAAACCCTTTTTAACTCGAACGTTCGCTATCTCGAACCAGTTCATTGGTCTCTTGTCTGTTCGAGTTATCGGGAGTTTATGGTGCTGCTTGTCTGCGATAGCCTGCGATGCGATTGTCTGGCCCTTTGGTATCATGTGTGACCCTGTAAACATTATGATAAATGATTTGTGCGCCAATTTTAAAGAGCAGACTGTTTGTTAGTAGATTTAGCTAAGATTAAAGATAGATATGGAGAGAAGGAGATACAAAAACATCTGTCTATCCTAAATGAAAAAGAGCACTAATAGGACAATATTGACGATAAAAAGTACGGCTTTTGTAAGTGAATTAATTCTTAAAAGAAAACCTCAAGAATTCTCACTACTTACTAATCCTTTTTAAATATTCATAACTAGCATCGTAAAACGACAGCTAACAGCTTTAAATTGCTTTTTCTTCACCATTAAGCTCGGCGTAGTTAGGACAGCACACCAAGCCGAACCATCTTATGCCAAAGAGGCAATCTGACGATCACCTCAAAACAATCTTTTTTAGAATACAGTAAATGAAGGAACCTTCTGTTTTAGAATTAGGCTAAAATGTTTTTATTAAAGATATATCAACAAAAACTTAGCATAGTGGTTCCTATTAAGGACATTCAAACCTGGTTCAAGCCAATGAGTTCTCACGCACAAAAAATACAATTTAGCAGTAGAGAAGATATTTTACGGAATAAAAACAAATGAAAGTGTCGTGTCGCCATCTAATTTAAACTTTAACAGAAGCAGTTGATGCGGTCACCACTTACCAAGGTATGATTGGGATGCAGCTGAGCTCTTGCCTTGTCATGATTAATGTTAATTTGAGTTTGAAATGAAATGTTTAAAATGATCGTCCTAGAGAATAGCTATGAAACATTTTTGAAATACCTAACGATTCATGGCAATTTTCTGGCAAACAAGTGACCAATAAATTGCAAACAAATAAAAATGTAAAAAATTTGATAATCTTTTAATTAAGTACTTTTCTTGCAAAAATGCCATTTTTAAAGTTTTGAAATGGCTTCAACTGCTTACTAAATATACTTCCAAATTTAAGTAAGCTTTGAAATTGGTGAATTTATCTTTACTTGACTCCACTTTTTTTGCTGAACAATTCAATCTTTAAGGGTAAGTTTTGTTCAATGTGGGTTTTAGTCAATGCACAAAGTCGTAAGACCACGTTACGTCCGAAGTCAATTAAACATGCTATAATTTACGCCAGTGAAAAGCCGGATATTTACTAACTGATTACTGATTTTTTACCTGGTTCTAGCTTTTAAAACCGAAACAAAATAATTCTTGTTTGTAACAATTCTAATTTGATCATATCTTAGACGATCTGTGACCTATTCAACCGATTTTGCCCCACTGTTTACAGCTGTTACCTTATTTTACAGAATGGTGTACTTCACGCACTATACTCAAACATACTCATACTTATAAGCAAGGGCCCTTAGAGAAGTTAGTGCATACTTAGCAAGGGCATACTGAGAGAAGTTAGTGGCTTCTCTTATGAAACTCTAGGAAAAAGAGCAATTATATAAATCTTTAAAATAAAAGCTTAATCAAAAGAGATCTTAAAAGCAACTTTATCTATAGTGACAAATGAATAACAATAAAGAGAGTCAGGGCCATCGCTACGGTTGGGAAAAATTGATTGCAAGAACAAGGAGTTTTTGCCATGTAAGGGTGCTTCGTCGGAAAATTTTCACACCTGTCGGCAAATAAAGAATGGCTCACCCACTTGAGCACAATAGCATCGATGGCCTGTTCAATGACAGCAATTCAAGCTCCACTCTTGTAATTCTATCTCGATGTTCGGGCAAAATATTCGGGCAAAATCCAAACTACGCCCCTAAACGTTTTGCATCCGCTACACCGACGGAACTAAATAGCAAATTGGCGGATAGGAAGGCTAAAAATTTATGCGGACAACGACAGCGTTTTGAAGTAAACATCAATTACTTGTGATCAAAATTGTGAAAAAAATCGAGAATATCAAAAAAGAGTAGGCTTATTTATTAATTAATTTTAAAAAATCGCGTGTCAGCTGCTACAACGGTCTGGTGGCATATTTATCTTACAAATCATCAAAACTGATTGTAAACAGCAGCTTGGTTGCTCAAGTATCTCTAAAGAAGATCAAACATAAGCATGAAATTCTAAACCAGGCTGAAAGCAACATGATGTTTCCCGTGTCGTCTCGTCTCAAACAACAAATTACGATTTGAATAAGCAAGATAAAATAAGGAACTAAGTTCTTCGTTTCATCTTGGCATTAGCTAATGTAGCATCATTCTGAAGATTTTACTTGCATTACAAATGCTTTCTCTTGATGTGTAGTTAAATACACTTGAATTGCATTGCAGTTGTCCCTTCATTGTCGCCTTTTCAACTCACTGGAACCTCGCATAGGAAACAGGCAAGCATGACTAGCAACTATACACAACTTTTGATCGAATTCCTAGGTAATTGCAGTTCTTGGGCTTTCAAAGAATTCGGTGCATATCTTAATGCCAAAGCCACTAAGATACCTTGACAAAATGTAATTGAGTGGACAGAAACTATACAGAATGTGACTGTTGATGCCTTAATTGATGCCTTAGCTTTAATTGATGCCTTCCCAGAAACATGTATGATTCATCATTGTTTAATCAGAGAAGACGAAGATAGTAAATTGTTCGGCTTTTCTAAACATCAAGATCGAAACACAGAAACATTTTCTAAACATCAAGATCTTTAAGTTGGAAAATAATTTTAAAAAATGAAGATTGAATAGTGAGACTTTATACGACTTTTTTGTAACATTCAGATTTGTCACTCGTACTTTCAGATCGGTTCACAATATACGTGCGTTTAAGTTCTCGATATAGGATAGAGCGATTACTGACACAACATATATCTAAATTCTATGAAAAACCATTTCAAAAAGATTGCAACGAAGACCATAGCCTTGAAGGAGGAATCTGAAGTAAACGATGCTAAGACAAGCAGAAAGACATGCCTATATAAAAATTGATTATATCAAGTAAAAATGAATAAAATCTATTATGCCTAGAGGAAGAAAGCACAGTCAAGAAAGCATGATTATCAGGCAAGACGAATGAACAGATCTGCCACAAGAAGGATGAGAAAAATTTAACCCAAGATACAAACAATATACACATTCTACGTAATAGATAAGTAAATTGATGACGTCATGAAATTATATTCTTAGTCTTTGGGTCATATAATCTGAAAGGTCATCATAGAGTAGATTTAAATGTGCGAACCCAGTGAAATTGCTTACGACTTGCTTAGAAATGTCCGGTGAGTTTGATAAATGGTTACAGTTATATTTTCTAGGTAAATTAAAATGAAAATAACCTTTGCTGATGCAGCTATAAATCTGGCGAAATTTGGCAGATTTAGCTGCGTTTTCACATAAATGATAACATTCGAACTTGCATAAGACAGATTTTCATAAAGCGGATGTTTCATAATTCAAACAAAAATACGTCCATTTAGTATAAATTCCAACAATACTTATAGGATAAGTCGGATTTAATGAGCCGAGTATCTGCCCAGGCCGTCCATTGTTCGGACTTCTGCAAGAAATCTTAGAGATTGTTAAATATTTTCATCTCAATGGCCTTCTTGCAAAACACATCTGTGACTTTCTTTGATACTGTCAAGACAGTTATTTTGTGACTAATGTTGTTACACTGAAAATATATCTGTTCTATCTATATTTCAGCTGATAGAATTTTGTCTTTCACCCTTCGATGCTTGATACTTTTTCCTTGTCGAATTTCACAGGTGTCAGTCAGACTTAGCTTAGGAAAGGAATCGCGATACATTGTCATTATAAGTCAACTCACAAATGTTCCTTTTTACCGGATATCAACGATTCACTTAAAAGACACACTACAAGTCTGCTTCGCTCTCGTACATCTTGATATCGAAAATACTTGAAGACGTGGATCCTTCATTCCAAGAGCTAGCAAGTCACTTGCTTATATAAACTTTTGAGTAAAATGTGCTCAAACAGCAATGACGACAAGATAAGAAGAATTAAAAACACTTACTTGAGCATACGCCGAAACAACACTGCCAGCACTGATTGATGTCCTTGCCTATGAAAGATTAATCGTGATATAACATATGCAATAATAAAAATGAGAATAATACAATTGAATCTCGTTGAGTAAGACGTTCAAGGAGTGGAAGGAAATGGTCTGACTTAGCGAATGTCCGAAACATTCGGGGTAAGTATTTTGACATGAATAAAGTAGGAAAAACAACTGGGAATTTCAGTTAGCGAGTTATCCGGGATACGTGTTAAAAAGAGATTCAACTGTAATTCTGAGAGCCAGAATTTGAACTCTTCACTAAGAAAAATATTTTTAATTAAATTTATTAAATAATAAAATTTAATTAATTGTTCAACAGTTTCCAGAATCTCACGGCATCATCTACCACAGGGCATTCCCTTCACCATTGTACACACGTTCACACATCTATGTCATGCTTACTTCTTCTAAAGTCTAGATTTTTCCTTTTCCATTGCATCATCATTACATCATCCTAATTAATCCTTAGTCAGCAACTTGATTTCTGTATATAAGTATCTTATTTTGTATAAAGTCAGTCCAGTTCAATTCAGTTCAGTTCAGTTCAGTTCAGTTCAGCTCAGACCAGAGATATACAGCAATACACAGTCTCTCTCACTGGCTCCGTGTTCTCTGCATGTTAAATAAGAATCGAAGCAAACACCAATGATGGAAAGTCACAAATACAAGATAGGACCCACAGCAATTCTTGCTAAATAATGTCGTTCCTAAGACTTCAGTGAAACAACGCTGGAGATTAGGAATGAAAGAAACAAAGCGCTATTTGGTTGTATCAAAGGCCATTTATTAACGAGCGATAAATTTGCAACGCGCTTGCTGAATCAGATTGGACCGGGATTGTGTCATCGACAGTAGCCCGCTCTAAAAACACCAAAGCAAGTCTTCTTTATATTCGTCTAGATCAAATTCAAGATCATGGCTAGAATCCTGAACATCTATAGTTCGTAGGATTCTCTTTGGCGTTTTTCCACGCGTGCAAAGGCTCATTGTTAGCAATTTGTCTTTAAGACTAGTTGTGTACGCTTTTAAGTCAATAGTAAACATTTAACGGCAAAAGTTATAGTTATAAGCATGTTAAAGATGCAGTGATTCTTCTTAAATATATAAAGCAAAACTAAGAAATGAGCAAGATCTGAGGGTAAATACGCGACAATCGAACACCTTACAAGCCTCCATATTGATTGTAGAAAAGAATCTTCAAATGGCTTAGTTACTCGATTGATCATAGCACAATGTAAATTACCGGATACCATGAAAAGCTTAGGATAAAAGCTAAAATACTTGAAATCTAGACAGACAATGGCAAACCAGTTACAGGAGATAATTTCAACAACAGAAAAGATTTCATTATGTAAAGTTGATTTACGAGAAATTCCTACTTCATAACAGCAACAATCGCCGGAATATGGTCGAAAGTTAAAAAAACTCAGATATATAAACAAGATTAAAAGGCATTGGGAAAGCATTATTGAATACAGGGCAATGTCAACAGAAAACCACTGTTTCGGGAAACCTAAGCAAATAATAAACAATTCTGAACTAGGCCATTCTCTTCACGGTTTACAGGTGGAATCAAGTAAACAATTATAAGATTAGTAAACAACCGTAACTTGAATGACTGAAGTTATGTTGGGCTAGCAACATAAAACAGACAATATACAAAGAGCTGAGATAATGTTGGCTGAATCTTTTTGATTCCGTCAAACGTAGGTTGAAAGAGAAGTGATATTATAGAAACGGGTTATTGCGATGTGTGTGAATCATAAAAGTTTTCTATCAGAGGGAACTATGCGCTAGTATTATCAAAAAGTACTGATAGCTAAAGTTGTAATGATATAGATAGGCCTTCTGGACAAGAAGAACATCGCCAAAAGAATAGATAACCAAAATTCGAGAAGAGCTGTTCATAAGATACGGATAAAAGCAGGAATTTCCGTAGCATAGCTAAAAAATTTCTAAGAAATGCTCGCTTATATTTTTCAATAAAAGTATTTTGGTATGTCAAAAAAATTTAAGCAAGCAATACTGCTGAAAACTCACCACATCATAGAACATTTGAAATGATCATCAGCAGGCAAGCAAGCAGGTCATCAGCAGAAATTTATACCTCGATTAAATTTACAAAACAAAAATGAAATTACATATTGTGAATGGCAATAGATTGATTAAGTCTCTTTCATTCTAATCAAAGCATTCACTACAATGTACGTCGAGAGCAATGCGTACTTACAGCAGGGAACGATTTGCTTGTAACCAACGAATTATGCTCCTGGAAAGGCGACCTGTTGAAGTGAATATACGAGCTTGATGGATATGGTCCTTGCTTCAATCCACACTAATAATCTGTTAAATTTCCTAAACTGCTCAAGGGCATTTAGCGAAGGAAGACCGTCAGATCAAGTGCTACTGCGAACGAAAGCCCTATTCGTTTTGAATGGTTACATAGCAACGACACAGTAGAACTGGACGGTCTTTGGAGGTGAAAACTACGATGTCAACAAGCAGGTGGCTTCTATGTGAAAACATGAAAGGTCAACAAATGCTGAAGTACGGAACACAAGATTAATAAATATATCCTATCCAAGGCCGACATCAAAAGGTTAAAAGAAACAATCAGGCTTTGGGTGAAACCAATCTTTACTACATTCGTTGAGTGACAGGTACTTCAACGAGATGATGATATCAAAATTCTAAATTGAGTTAAATGAGATGCAAACCAGGGCAAATTTTAATGATTTCGTTGCGAGTTTAATTGGATTTCAACATGGACTTGAACAGTACGCGACGGAACAAAGAAAAGCTTTAGCCAGCAACTTTAGGTCGAAGACAATGCATGAAAAGAGGGCATGCAGTGTCAAGGAAATAAGCTTGCAAATATAAGAAAGATAAAGTGAGAGAAAGAGAGAACTAATTAACCAGAAACTTGAAAAATTGGGGAGCTTAGAAGGCAATTTTGGTACTTCAAAGGTACCAATACAAACAGCAAAATAAAATGAAAAGCATATCCAAACAGCATATCAAAGTAGAATATTAAGATAGATATCAAGGATTTTCAGATATCAAGGAAGATATCAGGGATTTTCAGGTATCAAGGTAGATATCAAAGATTTTCAGATATCAAGGTAGATATCAAAGATTTTCAGATATCAAGGTAGATATCAAAGATTTTCAGATATCAAGGTAGATATCAAGGATTTTTAGATATCAAGGTAGATATCAGGGATTTTCAGATATCTAGGTAGATATCAGGGATTTCCAGCTATCAAGTTAGGATATCATGGTAGATATCAAGGATTTTCATATATCAAGGTAGATATCTAGTCCCATTCAACACTTATCCTAGCAATATTATGGATTACAACAAGAACAAAGGTAGAAATCAATCGAAGCCAATCAAAGTTTCGTTCATTGCAAACAACCGTACAACAGTTGATCTAAATGTTTATATTAAATGTGGTAATATACAGTGAGATATCAAGCTCCATCCAGGATAGCACATAGTTTGCGCAATGTTACCAGGTGAAAAAAAATTCCTGTTACTGCAAGGTTAACAGCTACGAGACTACAACAATTGATCCTGAAAAAGTTATTTCATTTCATTCTTCAATTGGAAGTTAAGTTTTGTAAAGTTGCTTTCTCTTCAGTTTTGGATATTTTGTTCCCTAACAAGTCATGCACTTCACGGCAGCTTGTGAGGGGAAGACAACCTTACCTCTTTTTAAGGATAAAGGGTGTTGCTGTTCTAGACACAAACTGTTTGTTGATAAAGGATGTTGATACAACTGCCTTTGACGGGTGAATTTGTATCATATGTGTCAAGATAACATGAATGAGAAAATCGGCATGATTCATTCGAAAGAAAAAACTCTTCAAATTTTTCCGTTGAAAAGGGAAAGGCTGTCGAGAGTAGCCCGAGGAACATATTACTATATGAAAATCTCGTATACGTGGCGGAAATCATACTGTTTAACCAGAAAATCCCTGAAAATCCTTTTGTTATCCTTGAAATCTCCTACGCAATGGGTAACAGTGAATTGTCCCTCAGTGTAGCCCATACTTTAGAGAAAAGTACAACAATTTCATAAAATCTCTACAAACATTTCAAGACATTATTCCAAAAACTAAACTCACAAGAAAGCAACACCTGCACAGAGGAAAGCCAATGATACACCTGCAAAAACTGCCTTTATAAATCACAATCTCACGTCTACTTTTGTTGACGATCCATACCTTTGTTTTTTCTAGCCGTAATCAGGGCTGCCATTTGGGATTATTCAATCCCAGATTTCACGAAACTAGGGCTATGGAAAAGCTGTTGGGATCAGAAATTGTAATCTGGGATTCAAAATAAAAATTGGGACTTTTTGGGATTATCGGGCAAAAATGGATAATTTGTTAGGATTTTTCCATGGATTGCTCAAATTAATTATTCTGTACAGGGCCTATTTTGGTGTGGTTTTTCCCACATTTTGTGGTCTTGGAAATCCAAAATGTGGTCTTGGAAATTCAAAATTGTGGAATGGGTTTTTTCATTTTAGCTATATTTCTGTTGTAATTATGTTTTTCTGTTGATAGAATTTTTAAACTTTAAAACATAACAGAACAGTACATAACATCCATGAATCGTAGCACAAGTTCCTTGGTCCAAATTACTCTGGTCCAACAAGAGCGAAAAATGTTACAGCCAATCAGCTTTTTGCTCTCAAATGGTGTAAAAGCCAATCAGAGCTTGTAAAAGACCCCTGAATCTAGCGACAATAACAACAATTGAAATTGATCAGCTTACTCTAAGGCCCCCAATAAATGAACTCCCCCCATTATTAATTTTTCAAAAATCTTATAGCCTGCTCTTATTAGAACCTCCTGCTTTCTAAATTTTTTGGCTCAGCATGTCCTTCAATATTCAAATAAGTATGAATAACAGAGCAATGTTAACCTTTAACTACTGTTCCTGTCGGAGTCCATAAAGAATAGGCTATAATAGAAACATATTTGTAATCGTGTTATATTGAATATTTTTGTTTTACACGAATAAAGAAAAACGCTTTCTACGGCAACGGTCGATATTTTGAAATTCAATGCTTCATATACAACCTTCTTTTCTTAAAGTGTGTTCTTGGAAAATTTCCATAAAATAGGCCCTGATTATGTAACCCCTTTTGCATTGCTAAGAACAATTTAGTGAGCCACAAGTAATAACACACAAAACACGGTAGCGAGGAAGATTGTTATTTCGTAGTATTAGTTTCTATTAAAACTTAAAAATTATTTTTATGAATTTATACTGTATATGACTTATATCCTGTGTATTTTTATGCAACTCAATTCTTATGGCAACTAACTTGACTATTTATGTGAAATTAAGCAACCGAATCATTGAATAATGAGTAATTCATTGCACAGGGAACATCGTAGGCAAGGCTGCGATGGAATATCTATCCCTTTCTGTTACCTCTGCGGAGGAATCTAAAATATGGGACTAATTTGGGATTAAGTTTCAGATAATTTGGGATTAAGGACTTGCCAGCACTTGGCAACCCTGACCATAATCAGGGGTCATTCACTTTTCACCTATCTACCATAAGTTACAGAACATCCAACTAAGACCAATTAAATGTGGAAAACTATCACCTGCAAGCATTCATCTAGTTTTCTGAGAGGCGCTACGTATTATTCGAATACACTCCAGTAGACTCTAGCAAGGTGGTTTTAACCAGATGGGGAGAGGTGCTTATGCAAGAAAGGGCCTAACTGACAGAGGGCATCATCGACAGGGGAGCTTTATCGACTTTAGAATAGGCTTCTTCGAATTATTTACGGTATGTGGATAGTATCTCACTGCTGTTTTTGTCCTACATTTCTACATCACGTGAGGCTTTTCTGCAAGCATACATCTGGCGCCATACCAAGGGGAGGCTAGGCCTCTCCAAGGATTTCTCCATCACCTTTCAAAGATGGGTTTATTCCTCGCTTGTCTTACTTTTTTCTCGTGTTCATGTGTATCTTGCTTCATAATATACCAATCACATACTCCGTATCTGGCCCATATTGTTTAATTTTCACGGAGTAGGGAGTAGAGAGAAGATTATTTCGCTCCTTCTTGAAATCTTTCTCAGTTTGATGCAATATAGATGCGTGAGAAACACATCCTGACCTCGACAACCTAAGTTCAAAGCTCGGCACATGTAGACAAAGCCAATAAAACATAAACCATACCTTTTTTCCTTCAGTTTGAATCTTTATCCAACGAACCTCCTCGCAAAGTCAGCATGTTTATCCGCTAGAAACAATCCTGCAAAACAGAAATGTTCCTAATCTTAATCAGTAAACTGAAACATTTTGAATGACTAAAACTTGCTATCAATTTTCAACTTCTTCAGAGTCCATAACAAAAGGGAGATATTTGTCTATTTAGCTGCAATATCAATATTGTTACATGGATGTCAATTTACTTAGTCTCGAATGTCAAGTAAGGGCCTGCTCGTATAGGCCCAAGCCGACTTGCCAAATATAGCCTGGAGTGAAACCTCAACCCTTGTGGCTACCATCCTATTCTGCCCTGTTTGGTTTAAACTTGCAAAATGGTAACCATGGCTGGTGAGCCAAGAAGAGAGTGATTGTCTTCACACAAATTTTCATAAACTCTCTTAACCAACGAGATACATTTTGACATCATAAAATTATGATCACTTTACATCGTCAATTGCGTGTTTACTTTCAGTGTAGGTTAAAAAATAGCAATCTCGCATACTGCCGTCGACATGAAAAATCGAGTATCCAAGTAAAATGGTATGCTAGCTTGAAAGCTCAAGTTCGGTGTTTACAGAACGTAACGTCGTCAAACTATTCTCGAAACGTCAAAATGGTATGCTCGAAATGTATGTTCGAAACTTCGTCAATACAATTTATTCTTTCTTCGTAAAATTTTATTACAAAATCAAGTTATACTACAACATTGCATTTGGAAACATGTTACTTTGCTTTAGTAACATGTTTCAAAATGTTTGCTTTTTCTAAAGCCATTTATAAATTCTGCACCACGAAAAGATTATTAGCATTACATTGTACGACACACATCTAGTTTATTTTATATCAAAATGAACACAAAATCAAAAAGAAGTTAATTTAATATCATTTTGTAAAAATGAACATAAAACAATATAAATAAACATATAGGATGGCTTATCCACAAGACCAGCACCATTCACCATACTTTTTCTTCTGTATGCTTTTGTTTACGAATGCTGAATGTGTATGGGACAATTAGCAAACTCATAATATAGATACTTTCTTTAGACACTGAATATGTAGGGCTCCCTAGTGAACTTAACGATCCCAGCCTTAGGACAATTCGTTTTTGCAGATTGACAACAGCAAAATTGTTGAATTTTCTGGACAAAATGCTAAAACTCAAAATACGGGACAGCTGTTATGGGACAACAAACTTACTGGGCAGTTATAGTTGCTGTCTGTGCTGATGGCAGTGGTCAAAGACAAGTGGGAAACAAATACGTTTGCAATGTTATTTCGTTATCAGTTTTTTTCAGTTTTCTTTATCTTTGTTAATTAATTTTCTTCAATTTGTATAATAACATTAGTATTTTTCTCGTCAAATTTTCCTATTGACATTCTGCAGTCTCCTGAAAAACAGTCTTATTGGTTGATGGAGGCACCAAACTAAAAAAATTTCAAATAAAAAGTCATAGCACTTAAGGTCTTTTCTAAAATTTTAACTGAACAATCAATCTCCTCCTAGCTCTAAAAGTATTTATTCTTATAGATAAAATGGCAAAACGTTTCTAATCATTGTCCCTTAAAAGAGGCTTAGTTAGTGTTCACCGAAGACTTGATCTACTTAAAAGAAAAAATGTCTAGATACTTTCTCTAAATTCTTAAGACAAATTATTGGCAATAAGGACTTGGATATTGAGTGGCACATAGCCCAAAAAGGTTGTGGAGCGACAATTGACCCTGCCCCTCACAACATGTGCCACCATGAGAACTTCTCCTTTTCCTAAACATCATCTGAGAAAAACCTAGCTACCGGTCTCCTTAACCACCACGAAACACGCAAAAATGTTCAAGAGAATGAAAAGGACCGGACTAAGCTGCAGCCTATGCTATCGGCATTCGAATGTTCAGGAAAAAGCAATTGCCTCGGTTGTATTAGATTTTTGGCTGCCTCGATTGCAGTATTGCCGACATCTTAACAGTAGTGCGTAGACCACTGAGTGGCGTAGACTTACTCCATAGGCCTCTGTTTCGCTACTGCCTCTGTTGTAGCGTCCGTCAAGTGAGGCAGTAGCGAAACAGAGGCTCATGGAGTAAGTCTAGGTAGTGCTCTTACTTACCGTACATTCAATATTAGAATTTTCAGCGGTTTTCATAGATAATTAACTGCATCGAACTGCATTATTTTTTGTGACAAGCAATTTAGAGCGACAGACCGTGAAAAGAGCTTTAAAAACCGATTACTACACTCGAATACCTTACAGCAGTTCACGATCTTTGATCAATAACACCGTCGTAATGGCGAGTTTCAAGGTACCTGTACACGTTGCTCAGCAACATAAGTGCAATGAAACCGCTACACAGCCAAATCTATATTGACTATGTATGTTGCGGAGCTTGTGACACAATCATTAAATATAAAGTTCACGAAAAACCAGCTCTGCTCTGAACATCTTTCTCTAGAAAAGTCCCCGTTACTAAACTAACAAGCTAAATTTAGAAAATTGAAGAAGGTAGACTGAAAAAATTCATTTTTATAAAGAAAAAAATTATAAAGTACAATGTAAAAAACTATTAGCAGGAATAATAATTTGAAATACAAACACCAAGGGAAGTTACTAATAAATAAGATTCAAATAAAAATGTGCGGTAAATAGCGATTTTGATAGAAAGGGTTACCTTTTGCTATAGGTGCGATTTTGTAGGAAAAGTCGATTTGCGAGATGTTAACTTAAATTTCTATATTTTGCACAATAAACCAGCAAAATAAATTCAACTGTTCGGCTCATTGAGCACTCTGTGCAACACCAAACTAGCCCAAATACAACGTTTGCAAACAAGGGAAAAGAAGATAATAAAAATGCCAAGTACAAGAACGAGTGGATTTGTCATTGACTCACAGTTAAGTCTTGCAATCCTTTAACCAAGGAATCATGAGATGGCTTTGAAAATAGCAAACATTTTTCAACATATATGTCGTAAACTGTTTGCTTTTTTCAAAGCCATTTTCAAGTTCCGTACCGCCAAAAAACTGTCCGAATCATGACATACAAAATTTTGCATGAATCCTGTACCGACAATCTTCGCCATAAGTTTACTGAAAGATCCCAGATTTCAGAGTAAACAACCAGAATTCATAGAGATTTGCATATTCTTAGCGTTAGGTTAGAATATGCATAACGAAGTTTCTACTTCTCTAGTGCCAAAAACTGGAACAATATCCCTGACGGCATTCGAGAGAAAGAATCAATCGCTTGCTTTAAAAGAAAACTAAGGGAACGTATTTTGAACCTTTAAATTTACAGGATACAAATATGACCGCTTGGTACAGCAGAATTATATCTTATAATGAATGTTGGTAATAGCATTGTTAATTTGTTAATTTTTTCAAGCTGAAAGGCGTTCGTGTATAAATATCGATGGTGTGGAATGAAATGAGATGAAATTGAAAATCCTGTTGACTATTAACTGTAATTCACATAGCAAGATCCTAAGAGTCTGGCTTTTCTTTCTATCCTTACATCTTTTAAAAATATTTAAGTCACAGCCAGAAACAAATGTCATATTTTCAAAAGTATAACAATTATAATGACATGAAAATTTTAAGTTGATAGCCAGACCTGAGAAATCAGTAAGGTGACCAGACCTGGGTAATCAAAGAATATACAAATTTATCCACAACTTCATAGCAATAAAGTACAGCAGTTGGCCAGATCATGTTATTGAATCAACATAAATTTTAAATCTGGTGATTTAGCTTTCTTTTAAATTACAGCTTTTTGCTCAGTTGCTTGCAGAGCAGAATAGAAATCCAATATGGCCAAATAGAGCTGAGGCGTGGCATTATGAAGCATTAGTTATTTTATATGCTATTTCAACCTAATGAAGAATCTTATAATTGAAAAGCAAGAATTTTGTAATACTAAAGGAGAATTTCTTTGAATTAGATTAAAGAACGTTTAATTTTCAAAATTATTGGTTGATACACACTGTCACGAAATGATTACTTGGACAGGAATTTTTCTAAAAATTCCATTTATTATTCAAAGATCATACGAATGTTGAACTGTCCTATAGATCATAGCCCTTAGCGACCCGAAAAAGCCAAGTTAACAGGGACCCAGCAAAGCATTGAACTAATCAATGTTCACGATGGTAAAGAAACTTTTGATTAAAAGAGTAAAAAGTTTCACGTCATCAAAAATTCATTTTTAAAGATTTCTTAATTTTGACCAGATAATCGGAAAGAATGGCATAAAAACCCCTCAATATGCAAAAGCAGTTTGATATGTTAAAAATTGGGCGAGATATGGCCAATGAAAGATTCCATGGTTGCTTACGTATTAGTCTCATTCTGGCCTGGTTCATGAAATTATGAACCTAGAATTTCAACCAATTTGAAACACTTTTAACTGATTTTGCACATTTACAGACATTTCATGATGCTCTTTTGGGATATATTTAAAATGTTTAAATGGATTGAAAATGTTTAAAAAAAAATTCTGTGATGTCATCACTTTGGTCTCTATTACTAGAATATTTGCTAAACTACGAAGGAGCGAAGTGTATATATTCTGAATCCAAGAATTTTATGATCCACTAGAAGCGCATATATTCAGTAATTTACCGCTGACATTTGGAGCCGTAATGTCAGGCAAGAGATTTCAACTTTTGCATGTGACACAAACTCGTCAAGAAATAAAACGATCGGGAACTTTTAAACATCGTGAAATTTGGGGTGCTTAATAACCTTGTTATCAATTTCCTTAAACTGCATTGTCAAGAAAGTAGTGAACTAGAAATTTAACACCGAACGATTTGAGCAATATAATTCTAGTTGTGGCATTTAGGACTATCTCAGGACAACTGCCGCTAAGCATGCCGGTTGCGCAAGAGCCTTTCAGGTCCTTGCAATATCAAACAAAAATTCGACAGGCTTCGCAATTCGCCTTCAGAACTCATAAATCATTTAAAAGCAAAAATCCAGTCGATTTTGGTTACCAGCCACAAGGTTTAACAACAAGTGTACGCCGTATGGTAAGAATTCACGAAATCACCTTC